AAGCGGCCATGGTGGGGAGGTGGAGGGCGACCATGGTGGGGAGGCCGGCTGTGCGGCGGTCTCAGCCTTGCGTTGTAAAGGCGCAACACCGGAGCAAGGCCAAGTATCACCGAGGGATACGGCTACATCGGCTTGTCTAGATGGGTGAGGCATCTCTTCTTTAAATTTGACAGAGTACTTAGAGATGGCTTTGAAGATTACTTAGAGATGGATCCCAAATGCAACATATTTGCAGCACCTCTCTTCTAGATTTGTCGAAATGCAACAGATTACTTAGGAGTTTCATTTAGAGATGATAATTTGCTGCAAAATCTGAACTTAGAGATGGATCCCAAATGCAACTCATGATTAAGTTTATTTGGTTTTTACAGGATGGATCAAAATTCAACTTATGTGCTGAAAATCAATTTGCTTGGCAGCCCAAAAAAGGCTAGAAAGGATATCAAATGCTTCTGTTTTGATAAGGTTATTGATTCCGACTTAACAAATTATAAGGACTTGGTTGAATCAATCGTAGAGCAGTACTCGCCTCGTTATTTGGAAGTTGCACATGTTCAGTATTATGATGATGTTCTTAAAATCTACCCTGAAGTAACATCTGACCAAGAATTGGTGTCGATGTTTGAGAAACACTCTAAGACAAAGGTTGTGCATATGTTTGTTGCGTATTGTGATCCATCGGAACCATATGAGCCTATAACGGAGTGGCATAGTGATGCGCATAGCCAACCTAACAACATAGAACAAGATGATGATGATGATTATCTTCGCAACCCAGTACCTGAGAATGAGCATGTTGGTGTTGATGAGGAAAATATTTATTTAGAGGATGAACCTGTACCTCTTATCATGGTTCCTTGTTCCAACAAAGAAAAGGACAAAGACTATGTTCCTGATCATGAGAGCGAGGCTGAGAGCGAGGTTGAGAGCGAGGATGAGAGCATGTTCGAGGTTGAAGTAGAGGAAGATGAGGAATATCACGAGGCAGATCATGCACCACACATTGAATATAATAAATTAGATCCTCCAATGAACGAAGGAAGAAAATATCCCAATATGGCAGAGTTTAAATTGGCGCTTTCTCAGCATGCAATCAAACATGAATTTGAGTTTGATACCGAAAAGAGTGCACCACATAGGTTCAGAGCTTATTGTTCAAGAAGGGATGAAGATAAGTGTCCATGGAGGATATATGCTTCTATAATGGAAGATGAGTGCACAGTAATGGTAATTTTCTAACTTTACTCATGTGTGCTTAGTTTGTGGTCATGGTCTTTACTCTAGTACTAATTTTCTATGTTCATCTTTTGTAGGTGAGAAAGAACCCTTGTGGTCATGATTGCTCTAGTACAAAAAGAAAAAAGAAGTTGAAGAATGCAAACAAGCGGTGGATATGTGAGCACGTGAAGGACTGGTTAATTGAGGATGCAACTCTAGGACCAGAGGCATTGCGAAAGAAGCTTAAAGAGCATCATGGAATCGACATCAACTCTAAGAGAGTCTATATGGGTAAGCTGCTAGCCTTGAAGGAACTATATGGTGATTAGGATACAAGCTTTGATAATCTTTATAGTTTCAAGTCGCAAATTGAAAGTTGCTGCCCCGGTAGCATAGTGATCATTGATCATCACACAACAAAAGATAAAATCAGATTTAAAAGAATTTTTTTTGCTTTGAAGCCTTGCATCGATGGGTTTCTTAATGGCTGCAGGCCATACTTGGCAGTAGATAGCACCTTCTTGACAGGCAGGTTCAAGGGGCAGCTAGCTAGTGCTACCGCCGTTGATGGCCATAGTTGGATGTATCCAGTTTGTATGGGTGTTTTTGATTTTGAAACTAATGAGAATTGGACCTGGTTCATGCAAATGGTTAGACAAGCCATAGGATCCCCAAGGGGTTTAACCATATGCACCGATGCTGGGCAACCAGTGATGACAGGTGTAAAAGAAGTGTTCCCAGAGGCTGAACATAGGGAATGTATGTTTCACTTGGTGTCCAACTTCAAGAAGAAGTTTCATGGAAAGGCGTTTGATGACCACCTTTGGGCTGCTGCTTACTCATGGAACCCATATATATTTGAAAAAAATTGGGCTGCAATGGACATAGCAAAGCCAGCGGCAACTGCATATCTTAGGAGGTGGCACACTAGGTTGTGGTCTAGGAGTCAGTTCTCAACAATTTCCAAGGTGGATTATGTTACAAACAACTTGGCTGAGTGCTTCAATAATTGGATTAAGCATCACAAGTCCTTGAACTTGGATGACTTCTTTGATAAGGTTAGGCAGATGATTATGATCATGTGGAACCGAAGGAGGAAAGTAGCAAGGAAGTTGGTTGGGTTGATTCTTCCCCACATAATTAAGAAGTTGAATGCAAAGACTAGAGAATTAAACTTGGAGGTGGTAGAAAGCTCAGAAGAAGTCGCTGAAGTGACAGCATTGGGAGGCAGCGGCTTTAGGTTTGTGGTCAACTTGCTTGACAGGACATGTTCTTGTAGACAATGGCAAGTTTCTGGCCTTCCTTGCAAGCATGGTCTAGCATTTATCACATCTCTTATCAATGCACACATACAGAATTATGTGGACTTGTATTACTCCATTGACAAATTTAGGGCAGCCTATGACCAACTAATTCCTGCCATGGTTGACAAGAACCAATGGCCTAAATCTGACCATGGATTCTTCATGTTTCCACCACTACTAAAATCCACGGCGGGTAGGCATAAAACTGAGAGGTATAAAGGCTGCAGTGAGAAGAAAAGAAAAGGCGGCCAACACTTATGCCCTATTTGTAAGGACTATGGGCATCATTGGCATAAATGCAAGAAGGGTAACCCAGATGACATTGCTGCTATTTTAGCTGTGAGGTAATAAATATAATTGTGTAACTTGCTTCACTTGCATTTTTTTGTAAGCAGCCATACATGTTAACTACTTTTTTGTTGCTCATGTAGAGGACCACCAAAGAAGAGGGCAAAGACCACCAAAGCATCAATTGTGCCTTGCGAGGATGATGCTCCAGCAGCCTCTATGTGCTTTCCGCCAAGGTTAGCCACTTTACACTCATGCTCATAATTATATGAAATCTGTGTTTGAATTCTAAGTAACTTCTCACAATAGCCAAAGCTTGGAACCTACAACTACGAAAAAGAGAAAACATGATAACTCAATTACTGGAGCATCAAAAAGGTAAGAACTAGTTCTGAATTTTGTAGTAGATTAGATGAAAGCTTGGTTTTGTATTCTAATTGCATTCTTCTCACTATAGCCAAATGTTGGAGAAAACAACTAAGGAAAAAGGGAAAGGGAGTAAATCTGGATCTACAGTAGCAAAAAGGTAACCTATGGTTGTTTCCGAATTTTATGTTATGTTATGCATTGTTCTATTGTTAACCTGGGCTACTATATGTGATGTATGATGTGCTGCCATGAATGTGTATGTGTAGATCAACAACTCAACCCATTTGTGTGGCCAACAAGAAAGCATCTGTTGCTTTGAAATTACATGCCAAAAGAAAAGGCAAAGAGGTTGCTGATAAGTTGCCACACCTTCCTATGGTGCCACATGATAGCCCTGCAATGGGCACACGTAGCAAAAAAATGAATCCTGCCAGCCCTGCAATGAGCACACAAAGCAAAAGGAGGCTTAGCTTGTGATTCTCATTGGATCCCTTTCCATATCATGGTTCATTTGGGAAACTTTTGAGCTGTTTATGTAATATATATGTGAACCTGGGCTTTTGTAAGTGCTATATGTGACCTTCATGTGTTGTATTTGACATGATGTGAACCTGGACTATTATATGTGAACTCTATGTGAACCTGAATGTGTGTAGAGGACTAAATATGTGGACTATTTCCGTATATGTGAACCTGGACCAAGTTTCTATGAACTTTTAGTTTGCATACATGTGAATCTGCTCCAAGTATATTATAATTTGTGCATATATGAACTGTACAGGGGATATATCATCAATATACAAGGGAGGTTCTGTCCAATTATCCAATTAAAATAAAAGCTGTGCTAAATAGCAGATTTGGTTTCATTTGGTAATGTATTCAAGACAAACGGATCACATCACCATTGCTTTTGACTTCTAGTTCACAATTTTGGTCACAAACTACACCAAGGGTAAAAAGGACTTTTCATGTCGGATTTAACGATGTTAGTTGCCAAAACTGACGGAAATGTCATATAGGGAACAAACTGAAGTTTGAGTGCTAGAACATGAAGATTTTTTTACTAGGGCCAAAACGGGAACCGAAATTTAAGAAAGGGTCAAATAAGGAATTCTCTCCCGGTTGGGATGCTTGGTTGGCTGCCGTCCAGTTGACTGCTCGGGTGCGTTGGAAAGAGACAGTGCACAGCGGCGTGCAGCTCAGGCGACGCGCACTAGCGTTTATACCCGCGACGCTCCGCCGGCCAATCAGGTGGCGAGCACGCGCGGTCGGGGGCTTGTGGGCCAAGGATATTCGTCCATGTCGACATTCTGAGCCGACCATGTCGCGAATGCTGCCCATGGAATAGTCGGAGAGGCCTATGGTTTGCACGCTGCTGGTTTGGGTTGCTTGTTTCTATACCTGTCCATTCCTCAGTCCGGGCCCGGCCAACCAAAGCCTGACGCAAAAAACCCAGGCCCGAGCCCGGTCCGGCCTGGCCGTCGGGCCTAAAAATCGGGCCTGAGCCCGACCCATCACATTAAAAGCCCGTCAAGCCTCGGGCCACGGGCCGGGCCTCTTTCTTAAATGGCGAAATCGACAGGCCCGGACCCGGCCTGGCTCGGGCTTCGGGCTCAAAACCTAGGACCGAGTCCGGCCCATGGACAAGGTCGGGCCGGGCCGGGTCGGGTTGGGCCGGTTGGGCCGGTCTACCCATGGCCAGGTATACTTGTTTCTCTAGCGCCGAAAAGAGCAATTCGATGGCCGGGGCGTTTATTTTTCCGTCCAATTTAATTTTAGAATGTCTTTCTTTTTGCAGGAAATTTTAGAATGTCTTTTTAACACAGTACATACGTAGACGCTCGTACATATGCATATACACTCATTTTTATGAACGCATGCATGCACACCTTACCCCTATGAGCATCTTCGTACGACTGAGATTGACGGTGTTCTTCAATTGTAGGCCATCCGTACTATTGAGAGGTGTTGCGAATATTAAGAAGTCGGGAAACTCAATCAAAGTCCATATAATATTTTCTCCAAAGTTTCCACTCTTGGAAGATTGTTTTTGAAGACTCTTTGTGACCACCTGTAGAGGTCCGGGTGCCCGGAGGCACCAGAGAAGCCCCATGCCTTTTGAGCAGTCCGGGTGCCCGGAGACATGGGCATTTCCGGGGTCTGTCCGGGGTCATTAACACTGATACATCTTCAATGTATCTACTTTGTTCAAACGCGTTGCTTTTATTTTGGCCTATAATTTGTATGATTTGAATGCAACTATTTCGTATTGACAATGTTTTCAGCATAACTATCTTGTTTCTTTTTTGTGTAGAAATAAAAATTCTCGAAATTGGACGAAATTTTACGGGTGCTAGTTGATACGTCTCCGACGTATCTATAATTTATGAAGTATTCATGCCATGTTTATAACAATTTTATATGGTTTTGGTATGATTTGATTAGAACTAACCCGGACTGACGTTGTTTTCAGCAGAACTACCGTGGTGTCATTTTTTGTGCAAAAATAAAAGTTCTCGGAATGGGCTAAAAATTTACGGAGAATATTTTTGGAAAATATAAAAAAATACTGGAGCGAAAAGATACCAGAGATGAGTCCTGGGGTAACCACAAAGGTGGGGGCGCCCGCACCTCCCTAGGGCGCGCCCCCTGCCTTGTCGTCGCCTCGTGGGCCCCCTTGACTTGTCCCCGACGCCAACACCTCCTATAAATCCGAAAACCTCCTATAAATCCCAAAACCTCATAAATAAAGTTAGATCAGGAGTTCCGCCACCGTAAGCCTCTGTAGTCATGAAAAACCAATCTAGGCCCTCTCTGGCACCCTACGGAGGGGGCCATCATCACCGAAGGCCATGGAGGAGGATCCCGGAGGGGGTCATCATCACCATGGAGGCCAAGGACCAGAAGGAGAACTTCTCCCCATCTAGGGGGAGGCCATGGAGGAGGAAGCACAAGGGGGGTGGACTCTCTCCCCCTCTTTCCCGGTGGCACCGGAGTGCCACCGGGGGAACCATCGCCGCGGTGATCGTCTTCATCAACATCACCATCCTCATCTCTTTTACGCGGTCCACTCTCCCGCACCCCGTTGTAATCCCCTACTTGAACATGGCGCTTTATGCCACATATTATGACCCAATGATGTGTTGCCATTCTATGATGTTTTGAGTATATTTCTTTTGTCCTTTGGGTTGATTGATGGTATAGATTGGTTTGAGTTGTATGTTTTATTTTGGTTCTTTCCTATGGTGCCTTCCGTGCCGCGCACACATGAAGGATTCCCGTTGTAGGGTGTTGCAATACGTTCATGATTCACTTATAGTGGTTTGCTAGAGTGACAAAAGCTTAAACCCGAGTAAGGGGTTGTTGCG